AGCCACCCCTCCCAGTTTGGTGTCATCTGCAAATTTGATCAGGATGCCCTTGAGTCCATCATCCAAGTCGTTGATAAAGATGTTGAATAAGACCGGGCCCAAGACAGAACCCTGTGGCACCCCACTAGTCACTCTTCTCCAGGATGAAGAGGAACCATTGATGAGCACCCTTTGGGTTCGGTCAGTCAGCCAGTTACAAATCCACTGAGTGGTAGCATAGTCAAGACCGCATTTTACCAGCTTCTTTACAAGAATATCATGGGGCACCTTGTCGAATGCCTTGCTGAAATCAAGGTAGGCTACATCCACTGCGTTCCCTTCATCTACCAGGCTTGTAATTCTGTCAAAAAACGAGATCAGGTTAGTCTGACATGACTTATTTTTCAGAAATCCATGCTGACTATTGGTGATCACAGCATTCCTTTCTAGGTGCTCACAGACTGTTTGCTTAATGATCTGCTCCAGAATCTTCCCTGGTATTGATGTCAGACTGACTGGGCTATAATTATTTGGGTCCTCTCTTTTCCCCTTTTTGAAAATAGGGACAACATTTGCCCTCCTCCAGTCTGCCGGGACTTTGCCTGTTCTCCAGGAATTCTCAAAGATGACTGCCAGTGGTTCTGAGATCACATCTGCCAGTTCTTTTAATACTCTTGGATGCAGTTCGTCTGGCCCTGGAGACTTGAATACATCTAAACTAGCCAAGTATTCTTGTACTATCTCCTTAGTTATTCTGGGCTGTGTTTCCTCTGCTTACGGACATACCCATAAAAGCCTTTTTTGTTGCTTTTAACCTCTCTAGCAAGCCTGAGTTCATTCTGTGCTTTAGCTTTTCTGACTTTGTGTCTACATGTGCTGGCTATTTGTTTGAATTCCTCTTTGGTGGTTTCCCCCTTTTCCATTTTTTGTACACATCCTTTTTTAATCTTAACTCAGTTAAAAGTTCTTTAGATAGCCACCCTGGCTTCTTTAGGCACCTTCCATGTTTCCGTCTCATTGGTATTGCCTGAAGTTGTGCTTTTACTATCTCCTTCTTAACAAACTCCCAGCCATCATGAACTCCCTTTCCTTTTAGTATTACTGTCCATGGGATCTCACCCAGCACTTCCCTAAGTTTTATGAAGTTGGCTTTCTTAAAGTCAAGAAATTAAGTCCTAGTATGCTTGGCTGCTCCTTTCCGCTGTATAGTAAACTTCAGAAGAGCATGATCACTTGCGCCTAATGATCCTTCCACTTCTACCCCACTAACCAGGTCATCAACATTGGTTAGGACCAGATCTAAAATGGCTATTCCTCTTGTTGCTTCTCCCACTTTCTGGACAATGAAGTTTTCTGCAAGGCCAGTGAGGAATCTGTTTGACCTTATGCTCTTGGCTGAGTTTGACATCCAACAAATATCCGGGTAATTGAAGTCCCCCATTACTACTATCTCCCTTCCTTTTGCATGCTTGGCCATCTGTTCCAGGAAGGCATCATCTATGTCCTCCGTTTGGCTTGGGGATCTATAGTAAACTCCCACAATGAGGTCTCTGTTATTCTTCTCTCCCTTAATTTTGACCCAAATGCTCTCACTTTGGCTTTGAGGTTCTAAATCTTGGAACTCTTCACAGGTATACACATCCCTGACATATAACGCCACTCCTCCTCCTTTCTTGTCTGGTCTGTTTCTCTGAAATATATTGTATCCCTCCATTATTACATTCCAATCGTGGGACTTATCCCACCAGGTTTCAGTGATGCCTATTATGTCATATTTAGTTTGCTGTACCAAGAGCTCAAGCTCATCTTGTTTATTTCCCATGCTTTGCGCATTAGTGTACAGACACTGAAGTCCATTAATCATTCCCCCGTGTCTCTTATTTAAGGATTTTTTCCTCCCACCACTAGGTCTGCGTGCTGTTTGCTCCATTTGGTCTATGACATTTGGATGATCATCTTCATCAATTGATAGACTCCTACCTTCAGGAGCACTGTCTCCCTCCCCCACATTAGTCAGTTTAAAGCCCTCCTGATGAGGTTTCTGAGATTTTTGGCAAAAACATTCCTCCCAACTGTTGTGAGGTGCAGCCCATCGCTTGCCAGAAGTCCATCTTCAAGAAACTGCAGTCCGTGATCTAAGAATCCAAACCGTTCCTGTTTACACCATTTGCGAAGCCAGCTGTTCACTTCCACTATTGTTCCCTCTCTCCCTGGGCCACGTCTCAACTGGGAGGACAGATGAGATGACAATTTGTGCATTTAATTGCTTCAATTTCCTGCCCAGAGCCTTGTAGTCTCTTTTGATCTTCTGGAGGCTATTGCTTGCGGTGTCATTGGTTCCCACATGAACCAAGAGGAAGGGGTATTTGTCAGTGGGTTTTATGATTCCTTGCAGTCGTTCAGTTACATCTTGGATCTTAGCCCCGGGGAGACAGCACACCTCCCGAGACATCTTGTCAGGCCCACAGATCACTGCTTCTGTTCCCCTCAGTAGGGAATCCCCTATCACCACTACATGCCTCCTCTTAGGTTGGGTCGGGGTTCTTCCGTGAGCTGTCTGTTCCAAGGTCGCCTGCACATTCCCTGAGGACTGACTTTGCTGGTCGTCTTCATATACCTGATCAACTGTAATGAGGGAGAGATCCTCAAATGGAGTCTGTTCTTTGTCTTCCATGCTAGGGGAGAGGACTTCAAAGCGATTGTGTATTTCTAAACAATCAGAGTGAACCCTGGGCCTCCTACTTCTTTGAGTCACGTTTCTCCATATATCTGGCACCTGTGTTGGTGAACTATAATAAGGCATTATACATTTTTTTAAAACTTCCCTAATATAGGGCTGCCTTCAGATGGCTCAGGGGTCAGATAACTCCATACCCTCCAACAATTCTCCGATGAAAATATGGACATCCTAAAGAAAAGCGGGACATTATGGAATTAAATAAAAAACCGGAATGACTTCTATAATAATGCTACATCCCTGGAAAATAGGGACACTTGGAGGGTCTGTATTATTATTATTATTATTATTATTATTATTATTATTATTATTTGTATACTGCCCTATACCCGCAGGTCTCAGGGCGGTTCACAACATAAAATCACAATATAAAAACACAAAATACATAATTTCACCTGCTCAGTTTGTGCGTGCCAGGCTACAGCTAAAAGGCACAGAAGCAGGGGCATTAAAAAGAAAAAGGTAACCCTTTCCCCATAATCTATTCTGGCAAATTTCATGGTTCCCCTCCCTGTTCCAAACAGCTCATTTATTTCTTTATTACATTCACATCACGCTTTTGTCTCCAAGGTATTCAAGGTGGAATACGTGGTTCTCCCTATACCCATTCAATCCTGACAACAACCCTGGCAGGTAGCTTAAACTGAGAGGCAGTGACCAGCCCAAGGTGACCCAGTGAGCTTTATGGCTGAGTGGGGATTTGAACCCTAGTCTTCCAGGTCATAATCCACTATGCAACACTGGCTCTCTTATAGGTTTAGGCTACTCTAGGGTTGCCATATTTCCAAAAGTAAAAACCAGGACATCCTGAAGGTTGTTGAGCTTTTTTTTAAGGAAACACCCAAAACTGTTTACAAAGACACCAACCCCCAACCCCCCCCCCCGAATTTTTCTATTGACTTGCCTAAGACCCAGGACAAACCACCACCTTTTGCAAATCTTCCCCGGATGTCAATTCTGCCTTTTAAGTCCCATTAATGTCCAGGGGAAACCGGATGTATGGCAGCACTAGGCTACTCAACTATTTGTTTTAAAATAATAAATAAAAACAACTTTTATGAGAAAGAGGTCAAAGCACAGCAAAAATATTAGTGGTCCTGGCCAGAGATCAGGAAACTAATATGAATTTTATAGTGCTTTCTTCTCTCTGTGTGTATATGTTTGTGTTTAGGTACTAGCTTATTTTAAATATGCCTACACACACACACACACACACAGAGAGAGAGAGAGAGAGAGAGAGAGAGAGAGAGAGAGAGAAATCTACTCGTATCCTTTAATATTGGCCATATCTGTGGGCCAATACAAATAATTTCCCAACATTTATAACTGGCATTTATAAAGTCTCATGATTTGCGAGGAGTTGATTTTTTTAATTCATTTTTTAGTTCTTCAGAACTGGCACGGCAGCCCTTTAAATAAATCCCCTGAGCTATTGTGGCAAAGGCTTATGCTAAGAAGATAAATGAAAAAGCTGTTTACACCAACACAGGTTTTCTATTATGAAGGAAGACACAAATCAGGTTGGAGTAATGAGGGTTCTGCTGAATACCGAAAAATATTACAATAGTAATCCACGTTCATAATAAACTCTTCCAACTGTGACCCCCTCTCCTCACATTCACAAAACTGTACGTTCATCTGTGCTACACACAGAATGAGAGCTGTATTTAGAATATACGTTTAAAACTGCAGATCCAGGAATGTTTGAAGAGTGTTCTGCTTTAATATGAGGGGTGGCCCTTTAAGACTGAGATGTGATGGACCTGGGTCTCTCTCTTGCAGTCTGCCTCTTCTCTCGCTTTTCCTATTTGCCTCCAGCAGAGCTCCGCGCTCCTTTTTTCAAAGATACCTGCTGCCCTGCCCTTCCCATGTCCTTCGGCAATGGTGAGCGCAGCAGCACTGTTCCTGCCTGAACAAGCTGTTCTTAATGACAGAGAGAGCCAAGGGCAAGGGACACGGCCCCATTGGGATGGAGACACAAGCAGAATGGGAGTGGCGGAAGCTGCCAGAGCAGAGGCTGATAAAATGGGCAGAGCCTAGGGATGGGACCGGGGCCAACTTCTCCAGGCTAGAGCGAAGCAACATGAGCTTACAGCCCAGTGAGCATTTCTGACTGCACACTGTGGCACTTCTGCCAAGAAGGCCACCTGCATTTCTCTGCGCTCTCTCTCTCTCTCTCTCTCTCTCTCTCTGCCCTTCCTGCTGGGACAGCCTTGCTTGTTATTTGATCCTGCGGAAGCACCAGGACATTGGCTCTCACTCTGCAGTGTCCTGTGCTCTGCAGGGAAGAATAGAGCCACGGCAGGGCGAGATGCTGATGAAGGACAACCAGGAATGGTGCCCAGAGAGAAGGAAAGAGGAGCAGCCCAAGGCAGCAGATGTGAATGGCGGAGGACCTCTGCAGGGAGCGTCTCCTTTAAGCCCTGGGGTGGTGCCGGAAAAGGGGAACGGTTGCCAGGATGAAGGTGAGAGGAGGCTAGGACAAGGGGTCGCCCCAGGCCAAGAGGGCGCAGGTGCCAAGCGACAGCTGCCAAATGGCTCCAGAAGAGAAGGCCCTTCGGAAGAGGAGATTTCAGAAGAACAAAGCCTAAGGGCCCCCCAAGGCGATTCAGGCCTAGGCAAAGGAAACAAGATGGGCGTATTAAAAAGATCAACCAAGGAGGAACTGGAGCCAACCGGAGGGAAGAGGTCTGAGGAATCCATGATGCGGGAGCTCTCTGAGATGGTGCAGGACGTGGTGAAGAGCAGCAGCTGGTGGGAGAGGCATGGCATCGATGGCACAATCATCGCTTTGAGCCTTCTCTCCCTGCCAGTAGGTAAGGAGAATGCCTCAGGGGCTCATTGAACTTGCGGAGTGGGGTGGGAGGAAGGCCGGGGAGTCCTCTGATTCTTGACGGGTGCTATTACACCTTAAAGCAAGCCCTGTGATGTGGTCAAAGAAGGGAAAGCATAGGTTGTCAACTGCTGAGCTACCAAGGCATGGGCATTGTCCAGTCTTACCCTGCACAGAGACTTCTCTGGGGCATCTGCCTGGCTGCTGAGAGATGGGTTGGTTAGAATGCCCTGGGACTTGTCTCTGACCCCCCACAGCATGGAGTATGTTAACGTCCTTGCGCTGCACTCCTAAGCATGGGGTTGGGGGTGGGGCTACTATTTCCTTTTGCCACTTATGGCCACATAGTCCCTGGGCTATGCAACAGAAAAGGATGGTGGAGCTTTCCCACACTGAAAAGTGAGTCAGTGGAACACTGTACTGATGTTATCATAAATCATCTTGAGATATTCCCCAGTGAAACTTATTTGTGGAGGAGCTCTCCAACCTAGCTCAGTGGGCATGTTGCAAATGGCATCAAGCAAGAACCCAGCAAGTCACAGCGAACATGACTGCAGTGGTTTTGGAAATCTGCATTGATATTGGCAGGTGCTTTTATAGAGCTAATCTGGTGAATTTCAGATCAGTCACTATTTTGCTGTGCAGCCTGACCCCCTGGTGGTTAGTCATCCTGCATAATAAAATCAGTGCTATCTAACAATAAAGTCAGTAATGGAGTGCCCAGGTGGTATGGGGTTATTTACAGGGGAGAGAGACACTCTCTCTGGGAGTTTACTTTTTGGGATGTCTTTGACCAAATTATTCCTAAGCCAGCTGAAGAGTCTGGAGGATGTTCTCCCTCATATCTGTCCCAGCTGGCATGAAAATTTATTTATTATCCCTCCTTCAGCATGAGGTCCCATGGTGGGTTACAACAAAAACAGATAAATATGCCTTAAACCATTCCAGAATGGAACAGAACAATGTATCTGTGGTTCTTTCGCATCGACTTAACTGAGTGCATTTGAAGGTCCAACAAGAACAGTGTTTCCCAAACTTGGGTCCCCAGCTGTTTTTGGACTATAGTTCCCACCATCCCTGACCACTGGTCCTGCTAGTTAGGGATGATGGGAGTTGTAGTCCAACAACAGCTGGAGACCTAAGTCTGGGAAACCCTGAACTAGACCATCTTGATAGACATGGAAGTTGTTGCTGCTGGTTTTCATTTTTGTTTTATGGTCTCGTCCCATTTCCTGTAATGTTGAGTTAGAACATGTGGCACAGCATCATTGGTGCCATCCCTTATCCTGACCCTGCCAGTGACATGGGGCAGGGCAAAATATGGCACAATGACATCACCCACATGACACTGAGTTGCAAAAGCTCTGCCTCTCATTTTAATGCCTATTTGGGCCTTCAAAAAAGAAAAAAGAAAAAAAACCAGAAAAACACCACATGGCTATGGTAAAAAAAGACCCACCCCAAAACAAACCACTTTTGGGCAGCCCTCAATTCAAAGTGTCCAGGCTTCATTAAACTCCAAAAAGCAGACCAGTTTGGATCATATTCACACCATACATTTAAAGGAAATGGCTTACTCTAAAGAATTCTGAGAAGGGTCAGTTACTTCTCACAGAGCTGTCCTTCCCAGCACTCTTAACAAACTGCAGTTCTTGGGATTTGTTAAGAGACGTCATGTGCTTTAAATGTACAGTACAGGTGTGATCCTGATCTTCACAAGTGTCCTGAGTCTGTCTGACTACCAGAGAGTATGATCAACCTCCCTTCTAGCTATGAGCCGAGCCCAAATAATTCTAAGGTCCTTGTTGCTATCATGATAGAGCTGGTTAGGACCCATGGACCTTCTAGGTCCCTTGATTACCTCTAGCAAAAGGTTCTAAATGTCTCCTCTCTCTCCCTAGGGTTCCTGCTTCTGCGTTCTGACAATCTGTTCCCTTTCCTGTTGGGCATTGCCATCTTGGGTGTGGTACATCCAACCCTCACTGTGAAGGGGAGCCACCTGGCCACCCACAACGCTCTGGCGGAGTCCAAGTCCTGGGGGAAAATATGGGCTGTATTCTTCCTTGAGGTGCGTTTTCGCTTCCAGCAGCTCCTGTTCTGTGGGGGAACACAAAGAGGTTTGACTCGTATCAAATCATTCCCCCCTTTTATTTTAGAGGCGGAGAGTGGAAAGCTGTGTGTGTGTGTGTGTGTGTGTGTGTGTGTGTGTGTGTGGCTATTTCTTCAGCTGCAGTTTTCCCCTCCTTTTACATTAAAAGCACGTTTTACATTTACATAAACTTTACATTTAAAGCACCCCTGAAGAAAAAGGATCCTAGGAACTGCAGTTTATGCTGGGAATTGCAGCTTCATGAGGGGTAAACTACATATTGCAACAGTTATCTAAAGTAATTGATGCCTAGGACTTGCCAATCAGAAGGTCGGTGGTTTGAATCCCCGCAACGGGGTGAGCTCCCGTTGCTCGGTCCCTGCTCCTGCCAACCTAGCAGTTTGAAAGCACGTCAAAGTGCAAGTAGATAAATAGGTACCACTCCGGCGGGAAGGTAAACGGTGTTTCCGTGCACTGCTCTGGTTTTGCCAGAAGCGGCTTAGTCATGCTGGCCACATGACCCGGAAGCTGTACACCGGCTCCCTCGGCCAATAAAGCAAGATGAGCGTCGCAACCCCAAAGTCGGTCATGACTGGACCTAATTGTCAGGGGTCCCTTTACCTTTACCTTATTTCACCATGAAATAAATGATTAGGGGTTTACAAACAGCACCAGCATTTTCCTCCATGTAATACAGATAATAAATGTAACGGGGTCCAGTGTTGCTCTATCTCCTCTAAGGACAATCTGCACGACCACTTGCTTTAATACTGGACAGATCCAGTAAAAGCTTGTCTTTTGTTGCATTTCTGCCAACACGAAGCATTACCATTGCCCTGAATGTGGACCATTTGAACTGGCACATAAAACCACCAATGAACGAACTTGAGAGTTCTCTTGTAGATTAGTGGAGAATGTGGTCAGGGGGTTCACGTGCCACATTTTACTCCATGGATCTGACCCCATATTTGTTTCCCATGCTGTCTTAGCCTCAGGAAAGTGGGAAATAATATTTGTTTAGGGTCAGATAAAAATTGAGAAATCTGAAAAAGCTCCCATTTTCTTGAAAGGTTGCTCTGAAAAAGGGGTACATTGAATATAGAAATCTTTCCCTTGAAAGAAGTTCTTTCCATCATTATGTCCATCATTTTCCTATTTTGTGTTGGAAATGGAGAGTGGCAGGGCGCCGGCAGCACAGTCAGCATACAAAGCATCAGTCTTTTATAACCTTTAGGCCACATCAACACTGCACACCTCGCAAAGGGATTGCTAAATGGTTTCTCACAAATCCTGGGTAGCAAGACTCAAGGAGTGGCTCTCAAAGGTGAGTCTGTGGAGTCTGTGAAACTTCAGCTCCACTCATGGTGTGGCTGAACCTGGCAAAGCTTTAGAGAAAAAGTTGCCCTAATTGAAAGATGTCAAAATGAGATTACAAGTGAGGAAATTCCGAACTGCCTGATTCAGATTGAGTATAAAACAAATTCACAGCCAACCTTGCCCTTTTATTTTGCAAAATGAATTTATTCAAATTTCAGAGTCTTATATGAAATGGAAATTGGGATAACCTGGACTAAAAAAAAAAAAGAGTCTAGGGGAGGGTCTGGGGTATGATCTTTAATGCATATTTGCACACATGTGTGTAACTCTGCAGGTGAAGAAAGTCACTTAGGCTGCAATTTTAAGCCTCTGAGATGACATGCATAGGATTGTGTTTTTCAGGAGCAATCCGGAACAGGAAAGTAATGAGAAGTGAAAGAATGAAATTTCCTTCCCCAGCAGCCGCTTCTGTGCTCTCAAATGACATTCCCCCTCTCCAAGTAGTCCTTTCTCTTCAAAACAGGCTTACAAACTACGTTTCCATGTATTTCTGTGTAATGTGTAGTTTGACCTTCGGGTGGTACAAACAGATGAATTGTTGTGTTATGGACCCAGTTGTGAAACTACACATTCTAACATAGCCCCATTTGAGTCAGGGAGGCTACACTGAATTAAGTTATTTGAGCATTCACCACCAAACAGCAGTGGTCTAAAACTTACCGTATTGGCCCAAATATAAGCCGCACCCAAATATAAACCACACCTATAAAACTGGAGGGGGGGAACCCTGAATATAAGCCGCAGTGGGCGGGCTGTGCACCATTTTCCCACGCTCCCGGGCTGCTCTCGGGGCGGTGGGGGGGGGTGAGTCATGCTGCTTTGTTGGCAACCTTCCCCCCCTTATCTCTGGTGGGTCAGGGGAGGCTTGTGAACGGCTGCTCCAAAGCCGCCTTCGAGTGGACGGATCAAAGTGTGGGCGCCAGCAAAGTGGTGCAGCTCGCCCTCCCCAGAGGGGAGCCTGGGGCAAAGGCGCACAGCCCACCCGCCGCTCCAAAGCCTCCCTTGAGATGCCAGAGATAAGGGGTACAGGGGGGAAGGCTGCCAGCAAAGCGGTATGACTCCCCACCTTCGTTCTGACAGCTCGGGGAAGGCTTTGGAGTGGCAGCCGGCCACACTTCCAGGGGGTGGGAGCTGTTCTGTTTTGCTGGCGGTGTAAGGTTCCAAATATAAGCAGCACTTTAACTTTTCACGATCAGAATTTGGGAAAAAAGTGTGGCTTATATTCGGGCCAATACGGTACCGCCTAGTAGGTCTTGTTGACCAATAGTGAGCTTACAAGGCTTGCAACCTTATGTAAAATTCTGTAATACTGTCACTTCTGAGAGCCCTGGATACATATGTGCTACATACATGAGCGGGCAGCGTTCCTTTATTTACCATTTCTTTCTGTCCCAGGTTTGCTCTGCTTTCACGGCAGAACAGGGGTCCTACAACCATGTGAAAATCCACCACGCTTACACAAATGTCATCGGCCTGGGAGACTCTAGCACATGGAAGCTTCCCTTCCTGAACCGCTATGTTTACATGTTCATTGCACCCATCGCAGTGCCCATCCTCACCCCTTTGGTAGCCATTGGTACGTTGCGATCCTCTGGATCCTGTTACTTTTCAAATATAACATTTATCCTAGACACTTTTAAGTATCTTCGTGTAGAAGGTGATTTAAATCAAGATATTTTGGGTCATTGTATCTCACAGTGTAGCATTTATTCTTTGCCTCAGAGTAAGAAGATGGGGAAGGACTAAATATATGCTACTCTAGCGGTTCCAAACCTTTTTGGTATGGCAACCCACCAATTGAAATTCACTTGGTGTGGTGTGACTCATCTTTTTACTGTTGCATGAGTTTTGGACCTTAGGTCTTTGGCAGCCATAGGTTTCCTGCATTTTAACTGCAGGTTTGCGCTTATTTTATAACCAGCACATGAGGCATCGAAGCAAAAAAGCACTTAATGATTCTATCAATGTGGAATTATTTGTTGAAATATTTATAGGACTTACAAAGCAATTCGCTGTTTTTGTTTATGGGAATCTAACAACACCAACCATTGGATCACAGGATATTGCAATATTGTTTTAAAAGCGTACAGTTTTACAAGCAGTACTAAAAATACTCATAGGTCAATATCATGAGAAAAATTATTCGATACGAAGTCTGTTTTGGCAAGTGCCAAAGTGGAATGGCTAAACTTGAAGTTTGCCTACCTGGGGTTTGTAAATGTGGGGACTGATGGCATAGACTTGGATCATTAATGACACATATCGTAAAAATATTATTTCTTATTTAGACTAAGCAAATTTCAGAGCATCTTTGGCTTCACTGATCTTGGTAGCAGATCCGGTGACAGTTTGCCACAAGGTGCTCATACAGGGAGCAATTTTGAGTGACTATTACAGCTTGCCTGTGATGCACAGGCCCACACCTTGTGGTGAACCATCACCTTGTGGTGAACTGTCAACTGGATCTGCTGCACAAAAGTGGTTCCCAAGCGTTAAAATGTAAGACTCGAGCATTTCAGGTCCAGGTATCAATGCAGCAGCCCAGAGTGGCTGGGGAAACCCTGCCAGATGGGCGGGGTATAATTTATTTATTTATTTATTTATTTATTTATTTATTTTAGCGTTACGTCAAGAAAACAAAAAGTTGTAGGAGGTATTCATCATACCAGTTAAAGATTTAAAGCAATAATTACGTTTGGTTTACTTTAAAAAGTCCATGACCCACAGATTTCTCAACTCATGTTCCAGGGGTTCAGATGTAGTATGCTAGTCTAATCCACTTCCATTAGACAAGAACATCTGTTTAACCAGTCCCACCTACTTAATTTGAATCAAGTGTGCTCACAGGCTGAGAAAGAGGCCTGTAGAACATAGTTCCAGCTATTTGCAGCAAGCAAACAGGCCATTCCACACATTAGAGGGGAGAAACCTGCCTCCGCAGGGTTGCTAAGCTAGTCTCACCTGACCTCAAATACTCCTGACCTCAAATATTATGATCAGGCAGGCGGACCTTGAGTGCAGAATAAAACCATTCACCACATCCTACCAAAACTAGTTTTACTGGGGAGTACCTCGATGCCACTCAACAAAATCCACACCTTTTCCTAGTTTTCAGTCAAATATTTAACAATAATCTTGTGTGAAGTGAGGTATGTTTTATTTCTCTTTTGATTATAGCAAGTATTTCTAAATTTGCACCTACATAAGTGAGCAGAAGCTAATTCTGCACAGAACTGCATCTTCCATTGGCTACTTTTTTGGTGATGCGTTTTTCTGTGGCGAGTGGAGCCTAAGCAAGCCACTGATCTTACCTGAACTATTTCCCCACTCTAAATTCTCCCCCCCCCCCACAACACACACAGATGCTGTACCTATGTTTTCCCCTGCCACCAAGCTCCCAAGAAGGAGGCCATTAGGGAAATGTGATGAGGAAAAAGAGCTGAACACCCCCTCTCCTAACACCACTGCTTGGCTCTATAGAAATGCTTCAAAAATAGAATGGCTGTTGCTGTAATATTATCAAGGAGAAGGATGAGGAATGGAGCCTTGCTGCAAATTGCCCCACATGAGGCAGAGCTTCAGGTTGCTTCTCAGAAATGTGCCTTCCCACCTATGGTGTAACAGCTTAGGGAAAGAGCCCTGAGAGCTGCTACATTCACAGATTCTTGATTCCACAGGCTTGCTCAAAGAAGTTGAATTGAAGACGGCCATCCGGACGCTCTGTTGCATGTTTGTTGGCCTGTACTCCCATTACTGGCTGCTGATCAACATCTCAGGTTTCCAGTCCATGTGGTCCGCTCTCAGTTGCATGCTGGTCACACGAGCTCTCCTTTCTCACCCTTACATCCATGTTAATATCTTCCAGGTAAATGCTACCAACTCTGTATCAAGGGCTCTTTTGCTGTTTAATTAATTGATGGTCTCGCGGCAATAGGCCGTGTGACTCGAAATCATCCAACATATTTGGCAAATGCTTTATTCTTTGCCACTGTTTACATGTTTAGGCTGCAATCTACACACACACACACACACACACACACACACACAACACACATGAACTCCCACTGAACTCAGCAAAACCAGCTTCTGAATGGGGATGCACAGGACTGAGCTGTAAGTAGATTAAAAGATGGGATATTGCAAAACCTGCAAAGGAAATGGAACAATGAAACATTGGTTGCATATTTAACTACACAAACACAAACACACATATAGAGATGCCTCTCTAAAAGTATGCATTTTGGCTGCAATCCTGTGCACTCAATTAAGAATAAGTCCCACTCAAATATAGTAAGTGTAATGTAGTTTATAAACAAACTCACTTCCAAGTATATATGATGCAATATTGGCAAGTAAACATGGAATTAGGCTGCATAAATAAACTCACTTCCAAGTACACATGATGCAATATTGAAAGTAAACATGGAATTAGGCTGCATCAGATATTTGACAGCATCCATACTTGATGTGATCTTTTGTATATAGATGGATGAATCTGCCCATTTAGGTTTCTTGCAGTTTCTCTTTTCCCCCATCTTAAGTTCAGTTCCCTACATTCCTGCATTACTATTTACTTTGTTGAAAAGAAGTCCTCACAAAAAATAGAATGTTAGCATGCATTTCTCCTAATATACAGATTGTTGAATGAAATCTTGCTTGATGTACGTGTTTTTGCAAGATTTCCCCTCTATATGTTAATAATTTTTTGCTATTAATCTCACTAATATATGCATTTTTATGCCACATTTCCCCTGAAAAGTGAATTATTTATATTTTTTGTGATGCTATAAACTATACAGTATTGCAGAATTTAGAGAAGTGCGAATTTGGAAGTCTTGCTTTAGTTCAGTTTGCACGTTGTTTCAGAACATACAAATTCTAGGTTTATGTGAACTAAATCAAATTGATTCCCCATCCCTGCCTTTATGCAGGTTGCGAATTACTTAATGCAGAATTCTGGGTCTGTTCCATTTCTGAGTGAGTTACTGTTTCTCCACCATAGAGTGGGGCTCAGTGCGATGTATCTGGAAACATGATTTATTGCTATTATTCAAATGCTTCCTTCTGTAGCTAAGCTTCCTCTCGAGCTCTTAGGAAGGATAGCAGCAGCTAGCTCTTTCTGGTTTTGTCTCGTAGCATATTGGCCTGCCAATGTTCGCAGCTGACAAAAAGCCCAAACGGATTCACATGATGAGCTGCGGCGTTCTGAACCTGCCTCGGAATCCCCTGCTGGACTGGTCCTTTGGGCACTCGATCATCAGCTGCCACGTGGAGCATCATCTCTTCCCAGCACTTTCTGATAACATGTGCCTGAAGGTGCGAAGTTGGGTGGCGGATGGACGTGCTGGGTCTTTAGAAGGCAGGAGTGTCTATTGAATGTGGAATGAGTAAGGAGAAGGGGACATGTCTGGTGGTTTTAAGAAGGAAGTGAATTCATGGGAGGTCAAGGTCACAACATCTCTGGGGATAGAAGAAATTGCATTTATTCTATCCATTACAGGTTTCCTTACCCACTCCTCACCATAAGGAGGTTACAACAATGCAGCCATCTAATTTTAAAATCAGATAAAAATATTTTTTATAAGCAACTAACTAATACAATTTAAATAAGAAACCCATGCAGTTTAAATCGGAAGGCAGAGACAGGTATATTTTTACATTCTCGGCTATCAAAGACCAGGGTAAAGAGGAGTGTCTTCTGCATCCAATGGAAGCTGTACAGTGAAGATGCTGGACAAACCTTGGTGCCATGGGAATCCCACAATTTAGGGGCTGTCACAAGGAATGCTGGTTTCCAGGCCACCACCTCACATTAGTTTTGAGGGTAGCAGAAATACTAAGCACCCGCCTTCCCGCCAATCTTAACAGTTGAGAGGGGTTGTAGGGAAGGATGTGGTTGTTCAGATACTTGGGGCCTGAGCCTTTAACTCAGGTCAACAGCAAAGAGTTTTGCTCGAGCTGGGGCTGCTTTGTAATGGAAGTGGAGGACACCCCCCCCCAGCCACTTGCCAAATATCTGTGGCATGAGGACTGTTCCAGACACTCCAAGTGTCCCTGTTTTCCAGGGACAGTCCAGGATTTTCAGAAGCTGTCCCAGTTTCTGATTTGATGCTGAAATTTCCAACTTTTCCTTAGAGTGTTCCTATTTTCATCAGAGAAATATTAGAGGGTATGTTTTTATGCGACCCCCAAGCCATCCAAAGGCAGCTCTGTATAGGGAAGTTTTTTAATGTTTTATGATGTTTTTATATATGTTGGAAGCTACCTAGAGTGGCTGGGGCAACCCAGTCAGATGGGCTAGATATAAACAAAATAATAATAATAGTAATAGTAATAATAATAATTAATAAAGGTAAAGGGACCCCTGACCATTAGGTCCAGTCATGAGGGAGCCGGCGTACAGCTTCCAGGTCATGTGGCCAGCATGACTAAGGTGCTTCTGGCAAACCAGAGCAGCGCACGGAAACGCCGTTTACCTTCCCGCCAGAGCGGTACCTATTTATCTACCTGCACTTTGACGTGCTTTCGAACTGCTAGGTTGGCAGGAGTAGGGACGGAGCAATGGGAGCTCACCCCGTTGCGGGGATTCAAACCGCTGACCTTCTTATCAGCAAGTGCTAGGCTCTGTGGTTTAACCCACAGCGCCACCCGCGTCCCTCAATTTATTGAATAAGATGTCCCTATTTTCAACAGAGAAATGTTGAAGGGCATGCTGTTTAACCACACCCCTCTTTTGCTTCTGCAGCTGGCAAATGAGGGCCCAAGAGGGATTTAGTCTAGGGGCTATCCTAACTGCTGGAAATATTAGTAATCACTAGTAATGCTAATTAATGCTGCCTTTCCCTTTTAGATCAAGCCAATTGTTTCCCGGTACTTTAAAGACAAGAAGTTGACATACAATGAGGATTCTTATTGGTCCCGCCTGAAGTTGTTCCTGGCCAAATATGAAGAACTGATGGTCCACGCGCCACCTATTTCTGAACTTGTTGGGATTCAGTGACAACTCTTCTAGGACACACAGCTATTATAAACCTAAGGCAAGACTGCTCTTTCCCAGGATCAAGAAATTTAGAATTCAGATTAGGAACTGGATCAAGCTATCAAGGGGAACACCAGCATGTCTTTTAATATCTTCCATATGGACAAGTAGATGACCTTTTGGATAAGAAACTGCATCTGCTCAGTGATGAGTCAAAGGGGAGATCAGTTGCTCCTATGCAAGAGATATTTTTAATACTTTGACTCCCCTCCCCGCTCTCTTTTAATTTTGCACACCGACAACTTTGATGCATCCTTCCCATGAATTATAGAGTAGGGATGGTGAACCTGCAGACCCTCCAGTCAAGACATTGCTATATTAGAGTTTCCATCATCCCTGGCCATGTTTGCTGGGGCTGATGAGAGTTATGTTTCAGCAACAAATGGAGAGCCACAGGTTTGCCACTCCTGCTGTAAGGGCTGATTCAGGCGTTATTTCCCCCGCTGCCCCTCAAACAGATGTAACGTTCATGTCAGGAAACACTTGCACACAGCAAGATGGTTGAGTGGTATTCCCCCGCACAACTTTGGTGTATGGCTTAGATCAGACTGATGCTGATTTATGAATCCACAATGGAGGAAATGTCATGCTGCTTTCCATACATTACAACAGACATGAAGTGTGTGGAGGTTCTGTCTGCAAGGGGGAAAGTAATACATGAAAGATCAAGTTGACTCCTGTCCCAGTGCAGACAGGATAACTCAGGGACTTTGTTAAACTTAGCTAAATCACTTTGTCAAGCCTCCAATCTAGGACAATTGAAAAGGTGATACTTCTCCATGGAATGATTGATGGGCCTTGAAGGCAAATTTCCAGAACTGCCAAAATGGAAGTTACCTCTGCAAATGATGACAGCCCATAAGCCGGGGCAACACAACCACCTTGGGTGGTAGACTTCTTAACAAGAATGATGTGTGGGGGGGGGAGCCTATATTAAAGACTGCTGCTGTGGAAATTATTATGCAATGGGGGAGAGGAGGTAGGAAGAAAATGAATTCTTATATTACCTCCCCCCCAAAAAAATTTCCTGTGATGGAGAACTTGCGTTCTTGAGATAAAACTGGTAATGCAATTTTACATCTGTGCCTTGCCTAATTTCTTTTCTTTTGAAAGAATGTGGAACATCACCAGGGGTGTAGGAAGGAGGGGGCGGGTCACCCCGGGTGCCACTCTGGGAGGGGTGACAAGATGGCCCCTGCCTCCCCCCAGCTGTAGAGCGGCCGAGGGCGCATGCAGTCCGTATGGGCGCTGCTCATGTGGCATCCATCCGGGCTGCTGCTCACACGTGCCCTCCATACGGGATGCTGTCACACATGAGTGGCATCCCATATGGACTGCGCAAGTCCGTATGGGCTGCACCGCCCTGGGTGCCGGAGAGGGTTCTCCACCACTGAGCATCACCAGCAAGGTCGCAGGTAGCAGAGGCAGGAAGGGAAGATGACTGGGTGGGTGGAACATGGTATGAGCTATTGCAGAGACCCAGATGTAGTCAGGATATTGAAATCGCTGATGCTGCTCCAACATTCCAAATTTAGTATTACTAAACTTTAAAGTGACATTTTTTCAATAAGACAGCCAACTAGGCTCTGTTACATATCCATGATTTGATGGATTTCATGGATTATTATAGCAAGAATATAAACCCCCCAACAACGTATCAAGCATGTAATACAGTTCCTTAATGGCACAAGTCAGACATGATGCCAAGTCATGATTAAGGAATCCTAACTACAATATTTCTATTATTCTGTGATATCTGAAATGGCAAACCATAGTTATAGCTATCACACCACTTCCGGAGCTCCTACACCATGGAGCACAAGAGTGGAATGTAAAAAGGTGAGTGCTGAAAGGATGGAATATAAGATAATACAAGAAGTCACTGATAATGGTTCACCTGTCTTATGTCTGGAAGCTCAGAGTTTTGCAACTATCGATTTACAATGTTTTCACTGTTGACCAGCAAATAAATCATGGCAAATTAAGCAGTATGCCACAAGAACAAGAAGTTTTAGAAGTAGAAGATAAACCTGAATGTTCTTGGAAGCCAGGGATACAGAACCTGCGGCCCTTCAGATTTTGCTGGGACTCCAGCTCCCATTATCCCTAATCAGCAAAGCCCAATGGTCAGGGATGGTGGGAGTCATACTTCAACAAATGTCTGAAAGGTCATTTGTTGGCCTTTTGTTAGCCTGATTTTTAAAAAATCTGAGTATTCATCACAATATTTTCAAAACAATACATTTACTTCAACTTCTACTTAATAGCCACCAACTGAAAGTAAGGCTTTATCATTTCAGAGTAGAAGCAAGCACTGCGTAGGGAATAATCCTGAACTGGCTGGCAAGGGTAGATTTTGCTGGTCTAATTTCCCATCCATTCCTCTCTATTTGTTCATTAAAGGCTTGATTAATCATCATGATGAATTTCCTCCCTGGTTTACGAAGACCACAGTGCCCCCCAATCCAAAGGCAGCAAAATTAAGGGGCAAGGGGGGGGGAGAGGAGGATTAAACTGAGATTTATTTCGATACCATTTCAGATTGTGTGAAGAGGTTAATCCCAATGCCACATGCTGCTGGCATAATTACAGCTCAGTTCAGAAACAATCATGTTTGACAAGCTCTGATCTTGTTCAGAATAAAGCTTAGCTATACAGTTCATATACACAGTGGTTGCTATTGCAGTAAAATCATATTGACAGCATGCAGGTGAAGTTTTTAAGCAAAATTTGCTTGCTACTGAAAATAATGCCCCTCTCTTTGGTATCACCACACAGAGATTAGCAGTGCGATCCTATCCATGTCCACTCATAATCCCATTCAAACCAGTGGAGTTTAACCACAGATAAGTATGCATCAGATTGCATACTTAGCCAACATATACAGGTTGAATGGGGATCCAAGGAACTTGCTCATATAATTAATTTGCTATCATTAAGGAGTTTACAAAATTGGGTACAGAGCGGATAAAATGGGTGAAATAAATATTCTCTCATGCTATGAGAATGGGGCAGCCATTCAATGAAGCTGATTGGCAATAGGTTCACAGATGACAGGATAAAATGCTTCACACAATGCACATATATTAACTTGTGGAATTTACTACCACAAAATGTGATGGTAGCTGCTGGTTTGGAAGCCTTCTTGAACTGGATTAGGCACGTTTATGAAGGCTAAGTCTACCAATGGCTATAAGCCATGGTTTTAACTATCACAGGACCCAGCATTCGAAACACATCGCTTAAAAAATCAGCTAGTCCCTCTCACTTCAGGAGAATTGTCTCAGGCCAGCAGGATATTCAGAAAGTATCTTATTCAGTGCTTGCTTGGATATATGTCAGAAGAACTGCCATTGTGGAGGGTAGATATCATGCACCTATAAATGCAATGTTTATGAACCACTAATGACTAAAGTGATTTGGAGTCGGGGGGGGGGACTAGTATAGAAAGACTCTAAATGGATAATAAACCTTCAGCTTCTTAGGCTGTTTAAATGACTACCAGACACGGAGAACAAACAGGAGAAGACTATGCTCTTGGTGCTTTGCTTGTAAGGCCCTAGAATATTTCAACTGGCTGTTTCACGAAACAAGAGGCTGGTCTAGACAGACATGGTTTAGATTTAAGAGCTGGAAAAGCTGCAGAGAAAGAGCAGCCAAAATTATCAGGGGGGCAAGAGCAACACCCCAGACAAAAGGTTACAAACATCTGCAGCTTTTTAGTTTACCAAACATAGGATCTAATCTAGGATAGTTCAGTTGGTAGAGAATGAGACTCTTAATGTCAGGGTTGTGGTTTTAAGCCCCACCTTGGGCAAAAAATAATAATCCTGCATTGTAGGGGGTTGGGCTAGATGACCCACATGGTCCCTTCCATCTCTGATTCTACTGAGTAAGGGAGGACATTACAAGAAGTTTCTAGAACAATGGTGTGGAGGAAGTGGGTAAGTTTTTCTCCCTTTTATAATACAGTGGTACCTCGGGTTACATACGCTTCAGGTTACATACGCTTCAGGTTACAGACTCCGCTAACCCAGAAATAGTACCTCGGGTTAAGAACTTTACCTCAGGATGAGAACAGAAATCGTGCTCTGGCAGCGCGGCGGCAGCAGGAGGCCCCATTAGCTAAAGTGGTGCTTCAGGTTAAGAACAGTTTCAGGTTAAGAACGGACCTCCGGAACGAATTAAGTTCTTAACCCGAGGTACCACTGTACCAAAACTTGGGGGTCATCCAAGAAAAGCTGAATGATGGGAGACAAAGGACATACATCTTCACGCAGTGCATGGCCGAACTGCAGAATATGCTGTCACAAGATCTGGCAATAGCCACAAACAGGGATGGCTTTAAAATGGGTTTGGGGTTTTTTACACATCAATGGGAAAAGCTATCAATGGCTACTAATCACAATGGCTCTGTATTATTACATCCCCTCCAAGTTCAGAGGCAGTAGATCTTGCTCATCCTCCTCAGAAAGCCATGACACGGTGCCATTTTGTGTTGCCCTTTATCCCAACTTCATGGAAACTCTTTTTATTGCAATACGTTACTGAGGAAGTGCCATGAAGGATTCAATACTAGACAACTGTGTACAGTGATACCTCGGGTTAAGAACTTAATTTGTTCTGGAGGTCCGTTCTTAACCCAAAACTGTTCTTAACCTGAAGCACCACTTTAGCTAATGGGGCCTCCTGCTGCTGCCGCGCCGCCAGAGCACGATTTCTCTTCTCATTCTGAAGCAAAGTTCTTAACCTGAGGTACTATTTCTGGGTTAGCGGAGTCTGTAACCTGAAGCGTCTGTAACCTGAAGTGCATGTAACCCAAGGTACCACTGTATCAGTTTAGTGAGAAATCAGAACACACTAGAAATTATAAAGAATAAAATTTTTGCATTATACTCAGTGTTGTAAAAACCCACATATTGTGGCATAACAAGTAGTGGATTGCAACAGCTTGTCTTGAAATAAACCTAGATCATGTTTTTATGCTCTTCTAGGCTATTTAATTAAGGGAGAACAGACAGAACTAGCAACATTTGTGCTGGGGCACATTTCCTATCATTCATGCTGAAATCTTGAATAATTGGCAATTCTGCAGATCAATGACTTCAAGAGAAGATGAAAGGGAAAATATGGTCTATTTTAGGTAGATAACTCTAGCCTTGTTTTTTCTTTCTGTGAGTGGCTTATCTAGCAGACCTTTTAGGAAGTATTTATTTATGGCTTCAAGGTCTTTAATAAAAATAGACTTCTAAAGGCATGGTTTGTCCTGGGAACAAAAAATCCTTCAACATGTAACTGATGACCAAAAAGAAGAAGAAAAAAAGAGGTAGCTGTGACTAAGGAAGCCAGATTTGGGGGCAGGACAACAGCTATGTAAACTTGAATATTTTTATTTTTTTTTGTATTTGCATTTTATTTATTTGTTAACATTCTTATATTACATCGGTAAACATTGTAATATTACATTACAGGACTTACTATAATTTCCAACATGTATACAAAAATTATATACAAATTTTATATACCTAGAAAGAAAATGAAACAAACAAAGAGAAAAAACTATTTTGCGCAGTTAACAAATACCCTGAGAGGCAGTTCAAAACAAAAATTTATGGAAAAGTGGGATAGATATAAAACATATGTTCAAAAATACAGTAAAGGTTCACTATCTATGCTATCATTTGATTGACGTTGGAGTGAGACTGAGTTGAGAAATAAGACTAAGAGCACTTATTAATATAGGAATGTATTAGATAAAATGTAAAGAAATATACAATAATAAGAGTATATTCATTTGTAAAAAAAGGAATATACAACGGGATAGACAAGAAGTCTAGTGTGTTGATATGTATATGATTTTGTCAACTTGAATATTGAGTGAGAATGCTACTACTTACTTGAAAGTAAATGGACTTCTTTCCAACTAAACATGCACGGAATCAGGCTGGATACCTCTTTGGAAACATGATTTACAGTGCAAACGTAACCCTATGTACACGAAGTCCTATTGTGTTCAACTGGGG